AGTTAATTAATAAAAATTCATAGCTGGCAAATAAAGTTAATAAAATTTCTCCTCTACAAATGAAAAAAAAATATGTCAAGATCACTTATGAGGGGTAGGAAGCTATTCGGTTTTTTTTCCGAATCCTATTCGTTCACCCGAATTTTTTCGAATATGGCTTTGGGAAAACTCCATTCGAATGAATGGAGATGCTTGTACGGGTGAATGGGGTGAATTGGGTGCTCAGGTCGATTCGAAAAATTCGCTTTTCAAAATGTATGTAGTTCGCCCCAATAATTAAAAAATAAATTTCTGAGTATTCTGAAAACAAATCAGAAAAAAGAGCTTTTAATCCTGTCTTGAATAAATCTCNATTTCTGCGTATTCTGAAAACAAATCAGAAAAAAGAGCTTTTAATCCTGTCTTGACACGTAATAGCCAAATTCGTTCGGGTATTTCGAGTTTTTCGAATACGAATCGAATTTGACTGGCTAGCTACTTCGAGTGAATAGAATCTTCCAGCAAAACGTAAAAGCGAATACAAAAAGCGCGAAATTCGGAAAATTCGATTCGTTTCCTACCCCTGGTCATAACAGATCTTGAAATGGATACAGAAATCTAATAAAAGTCCAAGGAATACCTCCATATACACTTTGCTCGTCATCATTTTACAGTATACTGACGAATCTACTTGGTTTCTCTGTTTTATATGCTTAAAATTACATAATTAATGTTTTCACCAATTTCGCAAGCTTTGGTCACTTTTTGAGGGAAATTTAGCATTACATTCCGGAGAACAATTATTTTAAGATATTATACCATCTATCAATAGATGAGGACAATATTGAAGGTGATAAACAAATAATCTAGAAATACGGTTTTAATGGATAGTTGAAAAACTGTCCTACCTATTTAAATAAAGCACCCGTCTCTTCAGGATATTTTGGTTGACTGCAAGTGCCAAAATTTTGTGACTAGTGGGTTATGTAAGGGAAGATTTTGCGGTTAGTGAGTTGTGCACAGTCTCGCAGTGAAAACTACTAGTTTCCACTCATCCGCTAGTTTCCATTCATCCTTTTAATACAATGATAATTAGATTAAAAAAAATATGAAATCCCAAGTGATAGATTCCCTCAACTCTGTCTAAAATAGATATATAATCATCTCTTGGGGTCCAATAATGACTGCTTCTTAGAGTGGGCTTTCCAATAATGACTTCTAATTTGATAGCCGCTAGTAAATCATCTTCATATCAGAAGCATCAGAAACAGAATAAGCCACCTTCTTCATAGATCTGTTATGATTTTGAAAGATAAGCTTCTAGATGAATTGAATTACAAAAGTATCTAACAAGCAATTGATAACTTGTCGTTATCTAATTGAAACTACTAGTTACGCAAATCTCTCAGATTATCATATTCATTTCCCAAACAGGAAATGCGCTGCGTTGTTTGTTGAAAGGGATGAGAGATAAAAACGAGGCTGAAATTTCCCATATCTATCTTGCTGAAAAAAAGATAAATTGGCATGTCAAATGGTTAACGATGATTTTCCACTAAACAATGTCATCTGACTAGCCTCAAGCATGTCGGCTGTACATGAAGGTTCAACCGTAGAATATAGATATTCTTTGCGCATTGAAATTGAAGCTGAAAGAAATGCTTCTTCCATTTCCTCCGCGATTCAGATTCATTATTTTTCATATCTCTGAAAGATAAAAAAAAATAAATCTCTTATCTCTAATTCTTTTTCCGCGCCGGATTGTTGCAATTTTGCATCCATCAAATTTTCACTATCAGCGAGATTAAATTATATAAATATGATAGAACATTACAAGCTTTTTCAAATTCTCCTGTTTCTAAAAAGCAACCAAATACACACCTATAATGAATACAATTAAGTCAAAAGCAGAAACTCATCTAAGTAACATAAAATCTCGTACTGAAGAACACCTTCACAATGTTCTTTCAGCAAAATCAGATATCAGACAAATTCATCCAGATGAAGCAGCGGATGATGTGGAATTATTAGCTCAAATTGGTTATAAGCAAGAGCTTAGACGTCACTACAGTACCATCCAAGTCTTTGGTATTGCATTCTCCATTATGGGTTTATTACCTAGTATTGCATCTACGCTTTCCATTGGTTTAGAGGCTGGTCCTGCTGGTTTGGTCTGGGGTTGGTTTTTGGCAAGTGTTTTTATCTTCTGTATTGGGGTTTCCATGTCATTTTTAGGTAGTGCTATTCCAACCAGTGGTGGATTATTTTACTATTCAAATTATTATGCACCTGAAAGTATCAGAGTTCCACTCAGTTTCTTGATCGGTTGTTCAAATTCTTTGGGGTTGATTGGTGGGTTGTGTAGTATCAGTTATGGGTTTGCTGTAGAAATTTTATCAGCTGTCTTTATTCAACGTGACGGGGATTTCGAAATCACAGATGGGAAATGTTATGGAATCTTTGCTGCTTGTATTGTATCCAATGTTGTTATTTCATGCTTGACTACCAAACATGCAGCCACCTTACAAACTATCTCAATTGTGGTAAATGTTTTCTTGGTTGCCTTGTTCCTTATTGCCGTTCCTGTTGGTTTCAGACATAACAGTTTTAACTCTGCAGAATATATTTTCACAAATTTTGAAAACTCCAGAACTTCATACAGCACAGCTTGGTCATTTGCTTTAAGTTGGATGCCCGCAATTTGGACCATTGGTGCCTTTGACTCTGCTATCCATTGTTCTGAGGAAGCTAAAAATGCACAAAAATCTATCCCTTGGGGTATTTTAGGTTCAATCAGTGCATGCTGGTTCCTTGGATGGTTCATTGTCATAGTTTGCGCTGCATGTATCAAGGATGGTGATCTTGCAAGTGTTCTTGACTCCCCCACTGGTTCTCCAATGGCACAAATTATTTATGATGCTTTAGGAAAACAATGGGCCGTTGCGTTTATGGCACTTATTGCTGTCGGCCAGTACTTAATGTCCGTATCCATTTTAATTGCCGCTTCAAGACAAATCTGGTCCTTTGCTAGAGATGATGGTTTGCCTGTCGTATATAAGTTTGTCAAGTATGTTAATCCAAAGATCCAAGTTCCGGTCAGAGCCACAATTTTTGGAGGTGTGATTGGTCTTTTGTTAGGATTATTGGTATTTGTCGGTCCAGCAGGAGCAAATGCATTGTTCTCATTAGCTGTTGCTTCAAACTATTTATCTTGGGGTACTCCTGTCTTGTTAGTTTTATTGCCAGTAGGAAGAAAAAGATTTATTAGTGGTCCTTTCCACTTTGGGAAGATGTTAAGTAACATTATTAACTTTGCAACCGTTTGTTGGATCTTGTATGTTATTGTTTTATGTATGTTCCCAGATTCCAAGAATGTTGATAAAGAAACAATGAATTATACAGTCGTCATTAATGTTGGTATTTGGCTCCTTTCATTATTTTATTATTTCGTTTGGGGATATCGATCATATACCGGTCCAAGATCAAATTTGGACGAACAGTACTTTGAAGGTGCAAGTCTCCATGAAGGTATCGATGAAATCTTAGAAGAGAAGGCAAGTAAGTGAGCTAAACTTGGTTTATATAAAATCGATTGTGATTGTAGTTGTTGTTGTGTTTTTCTATGTATAAACTCTATCGGTTATTATAAATATTTATTTTACCTATTGGTCATTGGTTTCTCTTCTCTTCTTTCACTTTTAAATTTGGTTTTGAAACAAACTCTTGTTCCAAAATTGGTTCTAAATTAAAGGAATTCAGATGAAGCGTTGAACAACTTGGTGATATTTCTAGAACAATTAGTTCGATTGACAATAATCCAATGATTTTCGAGGCCCATTCATTCCGATTTATGTTCATTTGCCGGTGGCTGCCAAAATTAGAACTGGAAGCGATCGGTCCAATAAGGGAAACTGTGTCATGTGATAAAATTTCCTGATTGGATTGGTTGCAAAATTTTTTTTGCATTATTCTAACAATATGAACCATTTTTAAGTTCATATCACAAAAGTTCTAAGGATGTCTATCTATAGATCGTCTCCATCTTCATGCTTTCGCGGAAAAAGAAATGGTTTGCAGTTTCCTTATTTGCGGATTTGGAGGGCAAAACTTGTTGTTTGCACATTTTACAACCTTTGATGATTTCCTGACGATAAGCTAAACCTTGAATCCCTAGTACAGCAAAACCATGGTGTTTTCTGTATTTATGTGCTTAAAAGATCAAAGAGGTATAGATTCAATATTAACTGACTCTACTGCCTGGCAAAAATATGCACATCTTTGAGAATCTTGTTAAAGAAAAGGTAGAGCCCTCAGAAGGTTTTCACTAATCACTTATCGTCACAGCAGAATGTCTCTAAAGATCTGAATAACGAGTTCTTTTAGTAATTTGTCAGTTATCTTCATTTCAATTATCCTCGGGAACCTTAAAGTCTCCTTGACCTTATGATACGCATAATTTCCAACACAAAAGAGAAAGCATCTATTTGGCATGGAACTTCGCCAGTTCAGGAACGCGGTGCTCTCTTGGTTCAAGTTCCGAGATAAAACTACAATCTACAGAGGCTGCATGCTGACCCTCCGTTAATAGCATATTTCCATCTCGCTTAAAAAGCAAATACCGGAATTATAATTTCCGCATAACGGCGGGCCAATTAAGGCATTGGAATTATTGTTGTCCCGTAAAATTAGATTAATTAGCTACTTCGTCTATTCCAAGGTTCCACAGTAGAAAATTCAACTTGAAACCTAAGATCCAATTTCACGTGCATCCAGCCACAAGTAGGTTCCAATTATCCCTCTTTCCTAATTAGGTATCTCGTTGCGTTACTGGACACGTTTTGTGTAACATTTTAATTGAGGCTAGAGCTTTCTTCTGCTGCTGTCAACGAGAAAATAAAAACGAAATCTGATAATTCTTCAGAAAATAAAAGCGGATATGCTTCCAGATGTACGTTCTGTTCGACGCGTCCATTAACAATCATAACGGCAATAACCAACTCTTCAGTGCCTGCAGCCGCGTACAACTATGAACTGGATAAAGAGGCTCTTTAGCTAATTGTTATGGAGCATGTACAGTAACTCTTTAGTTTATTAATGGCCAATTGTTTCTCGTCGTTGACACATGTTCTTGTTGGTTTACACATCAAATATTTTTAGTCCCAAGGAACAATAGAATTAAATTTGAAGTTTAAATTAAATGGAATTAGAACAATTAAAATTGTGTCCTTCATTCAAAACTGTGTTGCAATTCGCATCCACAATTTTTTTAAATTTAAATAATTAACTTTTGCCCCAAACAATCAACAACTGCACCTGAGTCAGATCTATTGTCATGAATTTTTCACTCTCGAGTCCCTCATCATAATCCTATAAATAGGACTGAATATTTCAATAAAATTTCAACAGTTATGTTTCACTCAGTCATCAATCAACTTCACAACAATGAGTGCTGTCATATCAAGAACAGAAAGTCATCTTAGTCACCTAAAGTCTCGTACTGGAGAACATCTCCATGCAGTTGCTTCAAACAGATCTGCTATCAGACTGATTCATCCGGATGAAGGACTTGATGATGTCGAATTATTAAAACAAATTGGGTATAAGCAAGAACTTAGACGTCATTATAGTACGGTCCAAGTCTTCGGTATCGCTTTTTCCATTATGGGTTTATTACCTAGTATTGCATCCACCCTTATAATTGGTTTAGAGGCTGGTCCAGCCGGTTTAGTATGGGGTTGGTTTTTGAGTTGTATTTTTATCTTCTGTGTTGGTATTTCTATGT